CTTTGTCTGCACGAAAAAGGTCCTGTTGTAATAACTCACTTCAAGAACAACATCAACTACAACAACATCAACAACAACGGCTACAACATCAATTACAACAACATCAACAACAACGGCTACAACATCAATTACAACAACATCAACTACTACAACAACTACAACTGCAACAACAACAACAACAACTACAGCTACAGCTACAACTGCAACAACAACAACAACAACAACGAGCACCTACCATGGACACAAACATGAACAAGAAAATTTACACAAAAGACTACCCTCAACACAAACGCGACTCCAAGGGACAACGCGTGAAGAAAAAGAAAGAGGTGAACAACTGCAGGGAGTCGTTCGAGAATTCCGTGAGCGAGCTCGACAATTACGCGGTAGTTGTTGCCAACCCACAGCAGCGTCGACAAACGAAAGGCAACCGGAGGTTTCCTCGTCCGCTCTCGAAACGGCGAAAGGTCGGTGGGGACCAAAGAGTCGCACACTGGCCCCTGCCCGGAAATCTGGGCATGCCCGTCCGATCGGAAATGAACGACGAAACACCGCAACATAAGCAGCAACCACGCCCGGAAATATTGGTGCTGGACGACAATACCGACGACGATGCCGACGACCATCACGAGGAAAGAGATGATTTGGTGTTCTGATCGATTGTCCGTCTATATCGCGTGTTGTATTCCGGCGGTGTACAGTACCAATCGTGGTTGTCCCGGAATTTAGATTTTGTGTTGCGGCATCGCCTTCGAGGCAATCGATTGCCTAGATACAAAACCACGGTTGGTTTCTCTTTGTATCTCATCGATAATTTTTATAATACATATTACGAAAGAGCTACAGAATATTTGAGGCCATCGATCCATCTATGCTCCTCTAATATGATCACGTTAACTAGACAAATTGCGAACCCGAGGCTTAGAGTTAGTCACGTCAATTTTTTATTGTTGCTGTTGTCCCTGATCGTTACCGCTAAAGTTTTTGCCTTGTTTCTGTCTGCGGTGTTGCTGATGCTGTTCATCTTCGTGTTGGTGGTGGTTGTGGTGTTGATGTTCTTGGCGACGGACACGTCTGCACCTTGATGATGCGGAAGGACGGGGGAGCGAGGATGAAAAGGAGGACTGCTGCAGCGACGAAATGCCGTTGCGTCCTCTAGAGCTACACCTTGAACCGCTCCCTTCCCTCCCTTACATAGTGGAGTGGTGCTCTCCACGAGGTCGCGTCGCCAGTACAGCAATTGCATCCTCTAGCACCGACGAGACGGGTCGTTTGCGCTTGAGGGGTGCCGCTGAAAAGTGATTCTGCATCGGGGACGAAACCGCCAGTGCCGATCGAGACGAAAGCCGCGATGCATCGGGGGCGACGAGGCCAACATCTGTGCAGGGAAAATGATTGGTGTCATAGGTGGAATTGATGTCACTGTCGAAACTTTGGTATCGAAACGCTGGTAGGCTATCTTGGGGGTATGAAGACGTTGACGTTGACGACGAGGGTTCTCGTGCTTGGCGATCTTCCAGGACGTTTCTGTTTCTCGGTAGACGCAAGGAGAAAGCAATCGGGTCTGGAGAGAAGAGAGACTGAGGTATGTATACTGCCTTTTCGGACATTCCTCTCAAGTATGTTGTAGCACTTTCGGTTGTCAGAGGAGTACGTGTCCTGCTGCTGGTAGTGTTTCTTCCGGACTTGAGGGGTGGAGGTGAAAACGAATTCATGTTGTTAGTCGGCTGCTTGAATAAAAAGGTGAAACTTTATGGAAGAGTGATTTTTGAAGTAATGCTGAGAAAACTGTTGTGAGACAAACTGATGTGTTAATTGTATTTTCGTATTGCTGAAACCGCTTAATGTGACACAACAAGCAAAAAGTGCGCAAAAGTGCGTTAGCTTCACAATTTGATATTTCGCTACTGTAAGTTGACTGACGGTGTTGAATCTACAATTACTGTACGTGTCATTCAATACCGTACAGTAAATGGTAAATGTAATTAAAATAATCGAAAATAATATCAAAGCCCAAGACCAGAGGCAAAAAACTTAAACAAATATTTGTAAGTAAATTTCAATTATTGTGCCAATGAATTATTGTGCCAATGAATGAATCAGGTTTTAATCCTGTCGCATAGCGGTATCGTTCTTCTTATGAAACGAAAGAATTCGGGATTCATAAACGTAAAAAATACTCAAACAGAATCCTATATACATACGAATTATTCTTGCTCCTTGTACCAATATAGATTTTATTATTTGGAAATACCCATATCACATCGAAGTGCATCGCTACGAAACCCATATTCGATCCGTGGTCCCAAAATTAAAAATTCAGGTCTCCTGTAACACAGGAACCATGTCGATTTCGATGTTTTTCGAAAAAATTAAATTCTCCGGTCCCCTTTTTTCCATTATGTGATCGGTTTTGATCACAAAAAAATGTGATCAGAAATGATCACAAAATTGATGAATTTCTTGATCACAATTTTTTGTGATCAGTTTTGATCACATTCTTTCCAACGGATTAGAATTAATATGTACTTTTATCCTCACATTAATATTTATATTCGATTTATATTATATAAATATATATATATATATACTATATATATTAAGTCATTGATGGTCATATTAGTAGCACGTCGCGTTAATTCTTAATAGGGCTTATTACTATGTTGGTAATACAGGACTGGTGTACTATTAGTAGTAGTACAAACGTGTAAAAATACTGTTATTATTTATATAAGGGTATTAAAATCCTATATAAAAACGGGACTAGTACAAAATGTACACAAGACAGTTCGAATTTGTGATCAAGATTGATCACAAATTTGTTATTTCTGATCACATTTTTTTGTGATCAAAACTGATCACAATTTTCGTTACCCAGAGGGGGATCTGGGAATCTAACTTTTTTCCCAAAAAATTGCAATCGACATGGTTCCAGTCTGTGTGAAGTATCAACAAGAATCACTTGTTTTTATTGTGCTTTTTAAACCCAATATTTGTTGCCATAGTTATGAATAATTTATATTCTGTCTTCTACTAGTACAACAAGCAATATCAAAGCTTGCTGCTGATTACTAAAGATGGCTAAAATATTATTACTCTCTTGTTAGAGCTTATTGATACTCCTACTAGTACTACTACTAGTCTCATTTAGCATGCAAACTCATACTCATCCTCAAAGTACATAACAAGAACAAGGGAGTGATCATAAATTTAACAGAGGTGCGTATCATTGCACTCCTCTGTTTTTGCATTAGTATTATGGGTGATTCCTGTAAAAACAACAGAATCAATGTAATTAAATTTTATTTTTCAGTCATGCATGCATACTAGTAAAAGAGTGTATTTTTGACATACTAGTAGATACATACTACTAGTAGATTTTTGGAAGTACCAGAGGGCTCCCACTTCCACCAGAAGTTTGCATGATCACACCACATAGATTTTTGGAATCATTGATTTGGAACTTCTACTAATCCCAAATGTCACCAAAAGCTAGAGAGAAGTAAAATAAAATTCCATCATATTCCAATGGCACAGCATGTAACGCATTGCAATTCAATATCTAGGATTATATGTATTAGTTGCATACTTCTTATTCCCATATACACAAATTTGTAGAGCATGTCATCATAGATTCAATGTTAGCTGGAATTACTAGTAGTAGCTAGTATTACCAGCAACTGTGTGTTAGCACTTCAAAATCAATTTGATACTTCTTGACACAATGGTACTTCCTCTGTTCCCCTATATGTGTCATTTTGTCCTCTAAATATGTGTCATTGCTATTAAGCCTATGTAGGATTGTGTGCAATTAGTAGTACTAGTAGAAACTCCTTTCTCCAGCTCAAAAATTAAAGAACCCACATAAAAACTGCATGCGCCTGAGCAATATCATGTGGCTCCTCTGAGACTGCATAGTAGTTTCGCTTGCATGATATGCCACTAGTAAGCGTAGTATTGCTGTACCCATGGAAAATCTTGAATTTTAAATCCCATCAGTCATTACACAGCAAAAAGATGGCCCATTATTGACACATTGAGTAAATGAGCCGTATAACTGTTTCAGTCTTGAACTGGCAGTTTGAGCTGTATCTTGGTCCTCAATGGATGCTTAACAATGAAAGGGACACAAATTGAATCCCAGCAGTAAAAACAGGATTCTAATAGTCATATGCGTAGTAGAATATATGATTCAAAATCCAGAATCAAATCAAGCTTTATTTGTTGCACACCAACTCGTGTAGAAAACACTGTAGAAATATTGATTTGCAGGGGGAAACAAACCAAACACCAGCAGCAAGTGCTCCTATCAGTGTCCTCCGTATCATATCAGCGACTCATATCAGCATTCTGTATCAGCAACTCGTATCAGCACTCCACTATATCCTATCAGTGCTGACTCCTCTGTCTTGTATCAGCGCTGGCTCCTCCTCTGTTGTATCAGCGTCCTCTGCACCAGCAATTCGCTGCTGAGTACATGGTAATGTTGAACTGCAGTTGGATGATGACATCCCCCTTTCAAGTTGTAGTTGTAGGGTTTAACAACAGGACTACCCAGTTTCCTGACATTGTTTCATTCTATGGGGGGCAGCCTGCTGAAAGGAGCTGGTTTATATGAGAGCATTGATAGAATTCTGAAGATTTTATGGTGGGCAGTCCTGCAGAATGTATTGAACCCCCCATTTCTAAGTTGTCTGCAAGTCTGACAACTTTGACTCATGAAGGGAATCTATGAGGTCTTTCTGAGTGCCTTATTGATATCCTTACTAGAGCAGCTCCTTTGTTGGTATTCAATGAACTATGTCAGCAGTACCTCCTGATCAGAAAAGGGTGAGCACACACCTTGAGAGATCCACCAAATGGTGGTGAGACTTGTGGTGAATTGAAGAGAAAGTAAAGAGAAATGTTGATGCAAACAAGAGAAATTGAAAACAAATTTTACTTTTTCTGCTGATGATATGTGTAAAAATGAAATAATGAGACAAAGCACAATGGAATAACATTGCAAAAGTAATTTATTTTTAGAACTACGATGCTGTTGTAGTACCATCAGCTCTTTAAGATCAAATACTGGTACCAGTACGGATTTGCTTAGTAGTGAAACAGAAATCTAAATACACTTTGTTGCTCAGTCAAATGAAGAATGAAGAAATACTCAAAAAAGAGGCAACCTGATTCTATCATATTAATATTGTGCTGAAGTAATTGGGACTACTGGTTCATGCCGAAGAAAGCAGTGGTAGTACTGCTAATGTTGTTGTCGATCACGACGTTCTCCCTTCCAAAGCTTGAACCACATTTTCCCCACAGAACCGATCGCAAAAGTCTCTGACACAAAGTTAGCGGTGCCACAACGGAGTCCACCGAGAAGAACACTCGAAACAGCGGGATGCAACGGTCGATGGCACGAAACGCCGCACTCCGGCGATGCCTCAAGCCCCGTCCCACACGTACGTCGGGAAGGGGGTGGATGTGGGACCCCACGTCCCCCAATACGTCGGGAAAGGGGTCGTGGTGGGACCCCACGTCCCGAACGAGGTCCACGCCTGCGTTGGGAACTGGGTGCCGGCGTCTTGGGCCACGGGATCCGGAGTGGCCGTTGCCGGCAACGGGCGGTCCCCGGGTGCCGGTCGTTCCGCAACGGCGGGAATGCTCGGCTCCGAGGTTCGTGGCGTGGTTGTTGGCCCCGAGGTTTTTGCTGTGGTTGTTGGCTCCGAGGTCGGCTGCGAGGTAGGCCCCGCGGTTTTCGCCGTGCTTGGCGTTGTGGTGTGCGGGGTGGTCGGCTCCGGGGTTCGTGCGGCAGCCGTTGGCTCCGTGCTTGGCCTCCGGGTCGGCAGCAATGTTGGACGCAGCGTCGGCACGGGCGATGCCCCCGCGGTGGGCTCGACCGTGGGCCCCCCGGTGGCCCTTTCTTCCGTTCCCCCACCGACCGGAGGTTCGTTTCCGGTGGCGGTGGCGGCGGCCGGAAGCCTCGGAAGGAGGACGTGGTCTACCACGTGGACCAGGCTCCCGCCGCAGGCCGGGAGGTCCGGGTCGATGATCCTCGGGAGGCCTTCTCCCGCGCTTCCGCCGGTCCCGTTCCCGGGTCCCCTCTGGAACCGGTCGTCCCCCACGCACTTGGTCCGGCTGGACCGGCCTTCCAGGAGGGTCGGAACGAGCCCGGTGCACTCCAGGTCCGACAGGGAAAACCCGCCGTTTGCCAAGTGGTAGAGGAGGATGGATTCGTCGACCCCCGGAAGGACCGTGTCGAAAACATCCGGGTGCTCGTCGCCCAGCCTCGCAAAGGCTTCGTCGGTCGGTGCAAAGAAGGTGACGCTCCCCGAGGAGGACAGCCGGTCCTCCAGGTTGTACTCCCGCAGGAGGCCGCAGGCGAGCGTCATGCGCAGCTCCGGATCGAAACACACCACCTCGACTGTGGTTTCGTTTTGTTTTGTTCGTGTGGTGTTTCGGRGGGGGGGGGGGGGTTGAGGAAGAAAAAAAAGAAGTGAGTGGGTGCACCAGCTGGTAGGTGCGACGGGTTTGGTGATTGGAACCAAGGTGGCACGTTGTGGCAAGACAACAGTGCGGTGCCACCTTGCCAGGCAAGCGTCCGGCACCAAGGAAATTATCGACGACTCACCGAGGGAGGAACACCGCGTGGGTTCGACCGGTCGATCGGGAGCCGTTGTTGGCCGCTGCGATCGCGGTGTGGAGGGCCTCCGGGAGGGGCGCTGGGTGGGACGACGACGTCCGTGGCTTGGCATGCGAGTGTTTCTGTTGTTGTTCTTTTGTGTCGTTGGAGCGGGAACGGGCCGCTTGTAGTACTTGACGTATCGCCCGTTTTGGTACGTGTAGCCCGTGGTTTGGCCTTGTCCCTGTGGTGGCAGTGGTGGCGACGGGCCGTGGTGGCCTCCGCTCCCGCCTCCACCGGGCCGTGGGTAGTGCCTGTGGGCGTACGGCAGGGCGTGGAGCTCGCGGCGTTTGTCGTTGGTGGTGCCTTTCGTGCCGCTGGTGGGTTGTTTCTGTTTCACCGACGGTTCGACGGCTCCCACCGGCTCCGCCGATGCCCTGCMCCGGATTCTCGGCGGTTTCGCGGCTGCCAGGCCGCTTCTCGGGGAGAAGCAGGCGACGAGCAGGGCTGTCGCCAGGACGCGGAGAGAGATCGCTGCTTCCGAGCCGCGTGCCCGCATTTCGATGGTGTGTTTTGTGGTGGTTGCCGCTCTTGTTCTTGTTCTTGTTCTTGTTGCTCTCTGGTGCAACGGTAGTATCGTCTGCTGTATGTGCCTTTGCTGTTCCTATTTCTATAGAAGAATGCCTATCTTCCACCGAAGGTTCCTGGAATGCGTTCGTCTCTTCCTACCCGATACTGTATCTAATCTTTCTCGCACAGAACAGATACTGGTAACTCGTACGGTACGTTACGGTATGCACCATGCGTACGGTACGAGTTACTCGTACAGGATCAGCACGAGTTCGATACGAGAGGGGAAGATTCCGGTGCGAATCCGGAGACAAACTGGGATGGTTCCCATACCGGTTTTAACGGCGAAACCGATTGTACCTATGAGATCTCTCGTTAAAAACCCATGTGGCCGGCACGCGACGCTACGATTCTAACGGCATTACTAGTAAGAAACGAATCAAACGAATCAGACGTGCGTACTACTACAGTAACGAAGCGAGGAACCATCGTTCTTTTGATTTTCCCTGCAATGGTGTCATATCGTAGTATCGTAGTATCTTAGTACCATATTAACAGTACGTACGAATATCTTGACGATCGTTTACTTCCGGACTACGGTAGATCCCGTGTTTGCCTGCCAGAAGTCCGAGTACGAGTAATTGCGATACTCAAACTTTTCTTTGGGAAACGGTACAGCACATCGATGCTTTTTCGAACAAAAAGTATTGCTTCTTTGGCACCACTCCGAACGGTGCGACGGAAGAGGAGTGACGCAAACACAGCTGCTGCAACTCGCGACGGTGCTGATGGCACAGCCGGAGTGCTTCTGTTTCCTCTCTTGCACGGTTCTTGCTAGAGCAACAGCTACACAACACAACAAAACAAAAGTTTTTAGCAAGGTATTAGATACAAAGTAGTTTTGTGCTTCATTACTTTAAGGCAGGAACGGGTCGAAACTATTCCAGCAAGGGGCGGACAAACCAACACGCAACGCCCGGTTTTCCATTCCATTTGATTCGATGATTCGATTCGATTCGATTCGATTCGATTTTTTTCGAGTCAATTTTTTTCGATTCGATTCGATTCGACGCCATCGAGCGATCGTTTCGTTCCGGTCCTGCCGTGGTGTTTGGTTTTGGTTTCTCGTCCGCCGACACCACCGCTGTCCGCTTTGCCCGTGGCCGAGGGTGGGCATTCCATATCATTCCATTCCATATCATTCCATCGGTGCATTTCGCTCGTCCGATCCATCGGTGGGTGGGTGGGTGGGCAGGTGGGTGGACCCCGCTAGTTAGTTGAGAAGAAAGGGGGAGGCCGCCAGCGCGGCGGCCACAACCAGGGATCCAACGGAACCGGAGCGACCTTCGCCTGCGCTGGAAGCACTCGCACTCGCGGCCTCCACCAGGTCCCCGAGGCAGGAGTTCGCCTTGTAGACCTCCCAGTAGGTCTCGATGCCTTCTCGGTCGGCTCCGGCGTCGAAGCGGTTGAGGACGGTGACCCCCGTCGCGTCCGCGGTGATCCCGTAGCAGGCATCGGGGGCCGGGAGCGGGGCAAAGACCGGGACCGCAAGGGTCGCCGCCACGGGGTAGGCGGTCTCGCAGCTCCCGCAGCCGGCCTCTTCGCAGGTCACCGCGTCCAGGGCGAGGTCCCCCTGGTCGAGGGGCGAGCAGGTCACCCCGACCTTGGTGTAGACCGTGGTTTCGATGGTTCCGCCATTATCGGGGTCGGTGTGGGTGTGGGTGGTCGTCTCGCAAAAGTAGGAGTACGCGGGCCCGGGGGGTTGGGTTTCGGCAGGGGCTTGGGCCTTTGCGCCTTGGCTCTTGTCGTCCACGACCACCAGGGACTGGATGACCCCGACGGCCTCGACGCCCCCCGGGCCGCAGGCGGATCCGTTCGTGAAGATGGAGTAGGGAAGGGGGGTGGTCATGGCGGTGGGGGCGGCGTCGGGCATGGTGTCGGTGTCGGTGTCGCTTGTTTTGCTTCGGTTTGGTTTGGTTTGGTTTGGTTTGGTTTGGCTTTTTTTTCTTGTTTTGTATAGCTTCGTTGGAGTTGCTTGCTGGGTCGGATGAATACCTGGTTGGAACTTGATCGTAATGGATCCTCCGGGACAAGTGAGTGGTTGCTGGTTCTGATGCAACGGTAGTATTATTGTTTTGTAGTTTTCCTGTTTCGATCATGCACAAGCACGGCTTTGTGCCGTACAAAACGGTACTATTGTCCTTCCAAGGCAGAGGAGCCGATGCTTCTATTCTTTCAAAACCTTCGGTAGTAGGAGTTTCGTGTTTCAATCTAAAAAAGATGCGGAACATACCGCAAAACAGTTCCCACCACCACCACCAACGGATCGATGTCTTCGGTTCGGCTCTTCCATCGGCGACGGATTGCTATTGTAACCGGTCGCACGCGACTCAAGAGGCGGTTTCGGAAGCAGGGGCTATATCCTCCAAAGGGGTTTGGTACGGACTGCGGCGATTGCTGACGCCACTCCCGCGACCAAAAACGATCCCCGGCAACTCTCCCGACTCCGTCCGTCCGTCTTGCGCGGTTGGCGAAGACCGGGTAGTATGGTATCTATAGTAGCTACTATGCATAGTACGACGCCACGCGATCCGACAACGCACCGGCGGACGGAACGCCGCCGCATCGCATGCCTTGCATTGCATTCGGTGCTAGGCAGGTTCGTACTTACTCGTACTGCTGGGAAGGGCTACCAGCGTACGTACTCGTACTTCTTTGTACCGTTGGACAAGGAACCGGAACGGGTCTACGCCAGACGGCCCCGTTCTGGTTTTTGAATATGAAACCGCATTCCATTAAGCGTACGTACCGTACGGTACAAAATACGACTTGCATTCCATGGCGTCGACACGAATTGCTGCATTGCTTTCGTTGGTGGTTCGCTTTTGAATGGAATCGCGTAGAATAGTAGTAGTAGTAGTAGTAGTACTAGTACTAGTACGAGCAATGCACTAGCATCACCATGGCAGGAAGATAGTCCTTCGAACTTTCTTTCCTACTGTATGAAACTATTTCTGGAACTTCTCTGAATCGGATCGATTGTCGAGCGGCGGGGCCCTTCCAACAACAACACACGCCTTTCCTTTGGTCTGTCGGAGATCTTTCTGCTGCAAAGTACGAGTAGATCGCATTGCATCGCATTGCATCGCATCGCGGTTTTGCAACGAAACCAGCACCACGTTTGCCGCATTGCACTGCGAAAAACATTGCGCTCTCTCCCGGTGTGTTGCAAGATGAAACAAAGCATCCTCTTCTGGTAAACATCTCCGTAGCTAAGCAAAACAAAGCAAAGCAGCGAATCGAAACGAAACATAACATAACATAACAAAACATAACATAACAAAACAAAAAACGAATCGACAACGACAACGACAACGAATCGGAATCGACACCGAATCAAGGAGGCCGCCTTCCAGCGAACACGGACCCACGAAACACCACACCGGGATGAAGGACGCCCGGAAGGGAACGATTCGCCCCCGCCCCGGCAGCGCAAGCGCCAGCGGCCTCCGGCTCTGGATGAGGCAGGCCTGGGGGCAGAAAACCGCCGATCCCTTCCGGGCCGAAGCGCGGGTTCTCTCCACCCCCACCAAAGCTAACCCCAGCTTTAACCCCAGCGTTAACATCAACGCCAACGCCGGCAGCGGAACGCGGGCCCCCTGCCTCTCCCCCAACGACGACTACAGCAGAAATTCCAACTACAACTTTGGGAGGGCCGGTATCAATGCCAGTACTAATGCCACTGCTAATGCCACTACTAATGCCAATGCCAATGCCAGTACTAATGCCCATCCCCAGTGGTCGACTCCCCCCGTCACCCCAAAATCCAAAACTTCCTCTCCGCACCGGCTTGGCAACGTTCACAACAATACTCATATTCACAACAACATTCAGAATCACAACAAGCACCCCTGCCACTGGGAAGAAGAGAACCAAAACCCCGAGGTCTCCAACGTCGACGAGGCCCTGGCGGCTCTGGCGTCCGCCCACCGGTTCGAGGAATGCTTTCCCGTCGGGCACGGAGTGGGAATCGCAACTGGAATTGGAAGCGGAAACGAAAACGAAAGCAGAAACGGAAACGGAAACGAAAACGAGCCCGGCGTTCCACCTCCCCACGACTGGATCCTGGACGGCCACGAGGAGTGGCAGGCCCAGTACCTGGCATCGGCCGAGCTCCTCGAGAAGCTCTACCCCTCGAGCAACCGTTTTCACACCGAAGCCGGACCCAGCAACGAAGCCAGAAACAAAGCCAGCAACGACAACGACAACGAAACCAGCAACCACCAAACCGACGAAACCAGCAGCAACCACCAAACCAACAACGGCGACGACGAGACCAGCCTGCTGCTCCTCCGCTTCGGGAGTGCCATGGGGCAGCAGGAATACCAATTTGCGTCCTTTGACCGGGTCGATTTCGGGCAGGAAGGATTCCAAACAGGCGGTGGGGAAGAGGGGAACACCAGCAACGACAATGGGAACGATGAAAACAGAAGCAACAACGACGACGAAGACAACGACAACGACAATGACAATGACAATGACAATGACAATGACAACAACACCATTAAAGAAGATGGTGATAACGAAAAACATATTATCGAAGACAAAGACAACGACAACGACAACCAACGATGCACTCCTCCATCGGTAGCGGCAGGTATTGCTGCGACAGCAGAAGCTACGAACCAAGAGAGCCAAAATCTACAACAACAACAAGAACAGCAATTCGAAGAATTCTGGCAAAACGCGGTAGAGGCCCCCACACCGGACACCGGAACCTACCCGAGCATCGAATCGCGATCGACCTACGCTACATCGCCATTAGTGCTCGACGAGATCGAAACGGAAACGGAAACGGAATTCGAAACCGAGGCAGATACCGACGACGAAAACGAAAACGAAAACAAAAATGACAAGGAACACCCGAGGCCATCGGAACCACAATCCTCGTCCTCGTCCTCGTTCACCATCGCAATCGAGGCGAGGGTCTCACCGATTCCGAGGGAACACGATGCACCACCACCCGTTTCGGAATCGGTTCCAGGGGAAAACGAGTCTTTTGCCGACGATGGGGACAACAACGAAGAGCACGACGAGGACGAGAACGAGAACGAGAACGAGAACGAGGACAACCTCTGTTGCGACACTGCCGATTTGCCAGCCTCGATGATGGTGTGCACCCCCAACACGTCCTTCGAGTCCACCACCACCGGGCAAGGGTTGGCAAGGGCGACGTCGACGATCCACAACGGGGCGACCCCCCTCAAGAAAAACACGAGGTGCCAGACTCCTATCGCACGCGACCCTTCCGGTTTCCTGGCCGACGAACGGGCAACGCCAAGGGCATCCTTCCGGGCGAGTGCCTGCGGCAACGGCAACAACCACAACCACAACGGCAACAACCACAACGGCAGCACGAACATGATCGAGCAGCCGACCCCCGTGACCCGGAACAATTACCACCACCACCCTCCAGAAGGAGGCTTCCGTCCCCCGGGGGATGGAGTCGATATTCTCATGCCGGAGTGTTCCCACCAGACCAGGGCCAACGACCAGAGCTACGCGTACCCGTTCGGAACGAACGCGGATTCCCCGGATCGGTTCCGGCTGGACGACCTCCACAAAATCACCAACGGAATCACGGACTCGGACCGAGAACACGACAACGGCGGGGGCGATTTCGACGACGCTTCGTCCGTGGCACCCACCCCGGCGGAAGGAGACACGGACTTTGAACACGATCACGAACACGAACACGAACACGAAGCCTCGTCCCTTCCCACCGCCGACGGATCGTTCCAGTCGGGATCGATTCCCAGCGTGGTCCAGCTCTTTACGAACTCGGTGCGCAGCCAGCAGCCAAAGACCTCCGTTGTGGTTCCCAACACCGTCCGGGCCACCACTACCAGCGCCGCCGCCCTGGACACCGCGAGGCTCAAACCAACCGGTTGCTTCGACTCGGGCTCTTCGGGACTGGCCATGCCCTCCTTTTACCTCGGCCGGAATGCCTCCCTGTACGCGTCCTCCGATGCCGGATCGAGGAAGGAACACAAGCCCTTCCTTGGCATGTCGATGAAGCAACGAATGATCTCCACGGTCTTTGGACCGGGCGCCGCCGTTGCCGCGGCGGCCTCCGCACTCCTGGCCGACGAGCCCAGCATCTCCTCCTCGATCGCCTCCCCCGAGGCCAAGTTTCTCCGCCGGAACCTCTCCCGGTCGAAGGGCTTACACCGCGGGCACCACCGGAGGCGGGCCTTGGAGCGGTTGCGCCGGAACTCGGTGCGGAGCCTCACCAGCACCAGCCGGAACAGCACGAGCGTCGAGGGGGACGAAACGACGGCACACCATCCCCACTCGCACTCGCACCATTCGTACTATTCCAATCCCTCCTGCTTTAGCGACGACGAGGACGAACGACGGTACAGAGACGACGAGGCCTCGGACAGCGACGAATTCACCGACGAGGAATCGCTGTCCCTGGGATCCCTCAGCACTCTTCCCACAGAGTACTGGAACCACCCGGAATCGGACCACACCCTGCAGGCACTGTCCAAGCTCGAATGGGACTGGCTGCCCTATTGGCGGATGGAGCGGCTGCTGGACGAAACCGACGGGGGATTCAAAACCGACAACATCCCCCTCCTGCAGGACCAGATCACCCAGGAGCTGTCCAAGCTGGACGCCTTTTACGGAAAAATCTGCAAAAAGGTCTACAAGCGAATCCAGCCCCACGCCGAGGAACTGCTGTCGGCCAATCAGGCGGCACTCGACCTGCAGAAAAATCTCTCGCTGTCGCAGATGTACCTGACCAAGAGCCAGAAATCGATCGAGCTGGCAAAACACGGAAGGATTGCTAGCACCAGCGCCAATGCGAACCAGAACGAGAGCGAGAACCACCAGAACAACAGCGACGACGGCGACACAGACGACCAAGAGTCCTTCGGCGACGAAGGTGTTGGGGTCTACGGCGCCGTTCGGTTGCTGGAATTGTGGGACACGCAGGAATCCTACGAAGGCCTCCACCGCACCGAGAGGCTCCTTTCCGAAATCTGCGGCCTCGAGCAGACCATCGAGGAGCGCATCCGGTCGTTCGACACCTACCAAGCGGATTCCCTCGGAGAGTGCGATCGGATCCTGGATCTGGTGACCCGGCTGAAGGAACGCCTGGAGGAGGAACCCACGCGGCGGCTCGTGTGTTTCGACGAGGCACGGAAGCGGGCCGCGGACTTTGTACCTGGGACCTTTGTCCCCCGACTCCACGAGTGCCTCTCGGAACTCACGATCGACTGGTGCGACCACGGCGCTTCGCCATGCGTTTCGGACCGGTACGTTTCCGACGGAAAGGCTGCCTACTCGCGCCTCATCGAGGTGCTGGTGAGGGTCGACAGGCTTTCGTCTCTGGGCACCACCGATGCTCCAAGCCCCAACGGCGACGAAAAGGACGACGACGGCAACTCCCGGGAACTCGTGGGAGCCATTGCTACCAGCATCCAAACCACCCTGATGCTGGAAACCCAAAAGGCCCTCGGCCGGGCCCTGCTGGATCCCACCGATTCGGAACACGAGACCTCCGACTACGAGCAAGAGCTCATTGCGCTGAGCAGCAACGAGAGGTACCTGGATTCGAACCGGCTTCCCATCTGGACGCACAACCTCGTGACCATCCGGTTCGAGTTTGGGATGAAACAGCGGCAGGAGACACCCGAGGCAAGGCACCCCCTCCCGGCGGTCTTCCACAAGCTCTGCTGGCTCCTGGCCAACGTTTTGTCCGGGATGCACCGCCTCATCGACTTCCACGGAGCGGGATTTGTAGCCGGGGCCGTTTCGGAGCGAACCCGGGAGGAAATCAGGAGGCACCTGCTGTCTAGGAGAGCCTCGGTCTGGAATGCCAGCATCCAATCCCTGGAGGAATGCCTGGAAGAATACAAGAAGCATTCCGGGAAGAAGAAACTATTTTCCCGGACCGACGACGGACGCCACGACGACTCGGACTGGCGCGAAGACCTCGAGGGTCTCCACGACGTATCCGTCCTGAAAAAACAATTTCTGTCCCTCGGGACCGTCTTTCTGAGCGGTGTTTCGAAGGAGGTTGTGAACGACGGCAGCATGGTCGACGACAAGCTGGTGTCGTGTTTCCGGGGACACCTGCGGAGCTTCCACGTCGAGGCGATGAACACGATCGGAACTATGTTCTATCGGGAAGACTGGCAATTGCACAGCGCAAACGACCTACAGCGAGAAACCAGGGCCACGCTTTCGTCACCGGGCCGCGAAGGAGACGACAAGACCACCCACTCCCTCCGGTCTGTACTCGAGGTAAGACGGATGCCTTTGTTTGGTTTGTTCGGTCGAAGGGAATCGATCTAGCTTGGTTTGGTTTGATTTATTTACGTGAGTGTTCTCAATATGTCGTTCCTGTCAACCACGCAGTTTGTTTTTGAACGAGTTCTACACCAGGGAGACCACAGCGAGTCTCTGTGCTGCAGGAGCAAATGCAATGGGTTTTCTGGACGGGCAATTGCCGAAAATAATCCGAATATGTTGCTTGCGGAATGTCGAAATCCTTTTGGGATAGATCGAGCTCGAAGGACGGCCGAAGCCAAAACGGAATCTATTACTTCCGACGTCTTTTCACGGAGCAACGATCGAGTCGAGGACATGATCAAGCTTCTGGAGATCTACATCGGAGACGACGATGCTGGTTTGTCAAAAATCATTCTACGAAGCGTGTTCGATGGAGTCCTTCCGTGGATGGCTCGCCTTCTCTTGATCATCGATAAACTCCCATTACTAGCAGAGGATGCCAGCCACGTACTCATAGGCATCGTTGATCTCTATGTGACGACCGCGTTCCGTCTTTGCGCCGGCAACGAACGGAACGAGAGGATTCTTCTGGGAATCGACGATTTAGACGTTTCCACCAAACAAGACGCCAATGCTCAGGTGAACCGAGCGTCGTCTCCGATGTTTGATTTCGGTTTGAGATCGCAGGGGCCGACCAATAGACAGGCACCCGTCCTTTCTGTTACGGCGGAAGCCGAACTTTGCGCTTTGGTGCCCGGGGAAAGCAAAAACCTGGAACCGTTGCGAGATTTCCTGCTAGAATGCCAGAAGCGGATGGAAGGGGTTGCAAAACTTGATTTGGTGGACAACTGGATCTCCGATCCAGTGATTGCAGAAGATACCATCGAGGAAGACTTTGCCAAAGAGACAGCACGAGTGATGGAAAGAAGGCAAGGCGCATCGTGCAATCATATTCTTGTGGCACTGGCGTTGTTCGCAGCGACTAGAAACATCCCGTCGTCGTGCAACCGAGTGAAAGGATACAGCGAACAAGTGCTGCGTGTATTTCCCCTTCTGATAAGTCTGTGCAATCGAATTAGTTGCATGCGGGCTATTCGTGGACGAGCTGTATTGCAAGAGGTGCGTTTTGCTTCGAACTAGGATGGCTACAAGTTTATCGTGACTTCATTGCTCACATTGTTTCTTTCTCTTTTTTCTCGTGTTCAGATTGTGTCGATTGGTAGTTTGTGGGAAGAGAGCAAACTCCACGAGCACGCGAATGACTATGTTGATGACTTTTGCGGTTTCTTGGCTCTTTTGTGGCGATACCTGTACGCATCCCCAGGAAGATTACCCTTGGGCATCCTGAAAATGCTCTGGGAGAATCTAGTTGGTGGAGGCTACATGATCCTCATTGATGGTTTTAGCAAGGTTCCCTATTGCTCGACGGAAGGAAGAGCATTAATGAGCATGGATGTGGCATCGTATCGATCCGAAACCAGCGCTCGTTCCATTGCAAACCGACTCAGAGAGAATCAGCACCCGAGCTGCCCACTCCCAGCCGTCATTGAACCGTACCGATCAGCGGCATATGTCGACACATACGTGAAGATCTTTTATTTCCCTTCGAAGGTAAGCAGAGATAAGTCTTTGCCTATTTCTCGGTCAATTCTTGGTTTTGTTTGTGGCGTTGCTGTACTAGCCAGATGGGTCGATATTTTTTCGTTGACACGATATATGAAATTTATCTAAACACGACTTATGTGCTTTTTCATTTCGCTGTTTCTGCCACTTGCCGGATACATTAGGATGCGCTGGAGTGGATCAAGAGCAACTTCGAAAATTACCATCAGCACCACATCATGGCCCTTGTGATAAATGATCGAGATGCCAAGAATCTAACGAAACAGGTCCTCAATTGCTACCGGGGTTCTAACGTAGCCACTACTGTGCGAGTTTGACGCCACGGTTCCGAATCCGTCGGAATTCGGATCGCAGAGTTCTGTATTGGATTATGCAATCCTCCAGTCCTCTTTTGCATCATTAAGAACCTTGTTCCATTCTACCGAGAACAAACTATAGAACGAGATAGATAGATAGATAAAGAAGATTGCAGTGTAAAAAATTCTACACACACTTCGTTTACACTAGCTTTTTTAATCATCAATTTTTCGGTCGGGGCTACAGACTCGACCATTAGTCCCGTTTTGTGAAACTTGAGGCATGCGTCGTCGAGGACCACGACCTCAATGGTTGGATTTTGTCTGCTTCCACAACGGCAAGCGCTCTGGCCAGCATAGATTCCAGAGAGGGAAGAACCCCGGTCATCGTGCTTGGATTGGATAAAGAGACCGGTGTTCGTCGGAGGAGTACTTCTCTCAGTCCTCTTTCGCTAGCGCTGTCCATACCGGAGTCTTTTATCTGTGGTCCGGAATTGAAAACTTCTGGCGGTATGTGAAACCTATTGTACGAGATTTCCCCCCTTTTCTTTTCTATTATTTTCGACATTTCAAATATACTTCAAATATCACAACTCCTCAGTGCATTAAATCTGATATTTGCAGCAATCTGATTTATTCGGGTCAAATTTTATTGAGCTCTGCAGAGGCGTTCCCCTTGAGTGAAAGAAATTGTTTTCCAACCACTCGAATGTTAGAAGAAGGATTTTATGGTCTTTGAATCGGTGGACATCAAGTGTGAGACCAAAACGCGAAAGGAGCAACTCGTTTTGATGTGCAAAAAAAACTTGTGTGGTTTGCCGAGATATAAAAACAGTTTTGAGAGAAATCGCATTATTGGCATTGCAAATGTTCGCGTTCTTCTCGTGGTTTCTCTTCTCATTTTCTTCGTTGCATTAAAGGACTGATTCACCACATCAGAATCGTACGAATACGATTCAAGAAATGATATAAGTGCTGAGCAACGTAATAGCTTCACGCCCATGTCCACGATATTGTTAATTAATTTTTATTCAGAACGTTATGTAGATTTTTAAAGAAACTACATGGTCTAGACCGAAATTTAATGGATTGAACCATGAAATATCATAAGTTTCATGTTGTGATGTCTTTCATAGTTTGTTAATTGAAAATCCGATGTAATAATATAGAGTAATATTGCCAATCGGAATAAAATTTATTGATGAGACCAAAGTAGGACTCAAAAATAGAAGTATGTAAGGTATTAAAGTACAATACGGTATTGAACCACGGGGTCGCTGAAGAAATTATTTTGCAGTATTCAACGCTACAGTACTAAAGGTACGTACATACTGTACTTCGTTCGATGGGAGTTGCATGGTCCAACTCAAAAAATTCTGTTTATCGTTATTCTTAAGTATCGATAATTCACCAGCTGCTCGTGTGCAAGCCTCACAGAGAAAGATGTACGTACCTACCACAGCTACTCGGGATTCAGCCTCACAACAGTGGGTGACTTGTAACTGTAATGTAATAGCCCAATCAAACAGTCTAGAAATAAGCCACTGGGGAAAATATCATTATAACTTTTTTGTTCTCTTGAATCCCCAAGATAGTTAATCATGGTTCCGCTGATAAAATTATTGGTTGCTTACTTCGTTCGATGAGAGTTCGGATGGGGTCCCGCAAAAAACTTGTTTATCATTCTTTCCAATGATAGTGAGGTCATTCACTAGCTACTCGTGATTGTAGATTGTTCAATGGGTGATTCCCGAAATTCTAAATCCCTAAAACTCCAAATGTAGGGATCTAGAATTTCGGGAATCAAGTCATTCAACGGACAGACTGAGAGGATGCCAGCTCAATGCCAGTCTTTTCCGGAATCTGGAATCTTAATTATTTTTCAACGTAAAGACTAAAAAGACTCAAACGCGCGCCATGGTTCAAAGTAAAAGATGAAATTTTTGATACTCAACAACTACTAGCATAAACCAACCACTCATTTGCTGCTTATATTGTCAGTAGAAAATGAGTGGGTTGATTTACGGTAGTCTCACTAGAGTAAAACATGAACACAGTTTCTGCTTATTATTTCTGATTCGATACCAGGAAATGAGTTCATGCATTACGCTAATTACTAGCCCGTGAGTTGACAACAAACACACTAAAAGACAACAGTTTCCTCCCAGCAAAACAAAAGGCGACATCGATCGAACGACATTGACAATGGGAGTAGTGGAAGTGATATATTCACCTGAATAACCAAAGTTACAAGAAAAAGCTCTCTCCTGAGGAGAGACGTTGTAGGGACAGGAGAACGCCAAGGATTGCAATCAGGAGATATGCCCATTCCCCCTTCCTCCATCTCTTCCACTCAGGGRACAACCAAGCACTACTCAACTGCTGTGGTATTGACCACAAAGTGTTCAGGGAGCTAGTTGATGTCTTTGCTCCTGTTTACAACAAGTACACAGTC